CATGCTGCTGTACAGTTGAAAACAAACGCAGTCTAGATAACATACATTCTGAGGGCATAAAGACCTATGATCAGGAGCCCTTTGCAGCAAATCAATTTGGTTCTAATTTTCTTATTTGTTGCTGGTCATTTGTTGCAATAAATGTTATTATTATTTATTTATAAATTCTGAATTTCCAAAAAAACATCACGCAGAAAAAAGAACATCATTGGCAATGATTTTCATCTGGATAACAGGTTTGTCCATAAACATGAACTTGTCAACAATTCAATACAAGTTACCAAGATAAAAAAAAAATACCTTAATTGGAGTCGTTTCTGGTGTAGCCTCGATAGCTGCTTCTGGTGGAGAGGTTCCTTCTTGCGACTGTATGATAGACTGTCCTGTTCCCTTTTTAAAAGAACAATTATAAATACACCTTTGTTGAGCAGAATGATAAAATCTTACTTGTATATGGGAAAGCATGAAACCAGTAGTGGTCTCGGTAACTGGCGGTGTTTGGCATGATAGGATTTGCGATGGACTGAAGAAATTCGTATCTGAAATATTGGTGTTCAACGAAGTCGATTTCAAAAACTGCTGGGATGTTTCTGCAAATAAACGCAATCATCAATGAACACAATTGAAATGTAACCAAATGCAATCGAATACCTATAATCGATGAATTCGCAGTTCCCGACCGCGACCGAAAGTTAACGTTTGTGGTCATTAAACATGTTTCCTGTAAAGAACGGTCCTTCGTGTCCACGGAGAAACGTTCGCACTCCATGACCACATCGTTCGGGGTATGTTTCATCCATCTTCAAAACAAAATTCAAATTGATTACTAGAGTTTCAGTTACTTACGTCAGTAATGGGCAAACCTTTCAGTTGTTGTCTCTGAATCCTTAGTAGTGGTTACTAGTAGTGGATGCATCTGCACTCGTTGCAACATCGGCTGTGAATCAATAAGAAAATCAATAAGATTAAAACTGAAATACTTATTGAGTACTACTCACCTTTATGGTGTGATTGAATATTGGTATACGGTCTTTGTGTCTGTAATGATCTCGCAAATAGGTGAGAAAATTACAGGGATACATGCCGTACAGACGGTGGAATAGAGCGAAGAGGCTGACCTGCATGTGTACCATCTGATCTTCTAACAGTTTTTGCGGTGTATTGCAATTCCAAGCAGCTAATCGACTAAATAACATAAAATGACATACAATATGCATTGTAACTATATAATATTTCAAGATTTTTCATTCTCAAAACAGTATATTTAAAAAATCAGATAAATAAATTGAAATATAAAATAAAATTAGCAATTATATAATTTGAAAACTTTAATTTCTTACCTGAATATTTCAAAAACTTCTTGAAGAAAAGGTTTCATTGAAGCAGGGATACAAGGCAAAAGAACTACAAGTGCCAGCAGAGCACTAAGCAGTGGTACTATTTCACATTCTTGCTAAAATTAATTATTTCAGGAATTTGTTATTTAATGGAACATGTAGATAACAAACCTTCAGCAATTTTAAAACTTCTTTGAATAAAGCATGCTGTGTAATTTTATATAACCATGTTGGCTGCTTATCTACCATATATCCTAATAGAGTGAGTGCCTGTATTTTGGTTTCAGTTTTGGAGCATCTGATTGATTCTAGCAGTCTGAAACAAATTAATTATTATTGATCAGCTTATATAGATGCACAACATTTTACTTGTCAAAGAGATGTATGTGATGTGGTTCTCGTACATTTATTAAAATTTCTAAAGCTCGAACTGAATATGTACTCAAATAATAATCATATAAACCATTCACAAGCCATGGATCTTTGTCTGCAAAAAAAAAATGTAAATTATCAAATAATTAATTATATTCAACAAAATTGAGAATAATTACTCTGAGAGATAATCTCATGTATCTTCTGTTTAGTTTCATCAGCTATTGGGCGGTTGTGAGATTCCAACTGTTGCAGAATTTCTGCCATTTTATAGCTGATACAGTAGTTGGTGTACTAATTTTCATTTGCTATACAAAGCATAGACTGCTTATTGCTTCTTGTTGGTAGAGATGTTAAGAAGTTTCCTCCAGCCTTTTCTTCCTCCTTGTGTTTATTGGCAGTTGATAATTTATGCAGTCACTAGACAAGGTAACAACACCAGCAGGCATTTGCTCATTGTTACAGACCACCATGTAACTACAAACAAAAAATAAAAAATTGGATTATTGTTAGAGTTCTAATTGGAATATGAAAAGAAGCAAAAAGGATTACAGAAACATTCCTGGTATAGCAGATGAGGGCAGTGTGGATGAATTTATAATAATTGATCAAATATAAAAGGGAGGTTATTCAATCGTAGTCGGCGGTAGCGGTGCTTGAGGATAGATGAAATGTGGAATTGCACAGTGAATGCAAATTGCAGAAAGAAATGTATTCCCATTATAAACCGAATTCGTTTCCTATTGGAATCGACGGCTCAACAATGGCACTTTTGTGTAGAAATACAGCATGTTGTGTTAAAAGTAATGTGCTATATTACCTATGAGCCAAGTAGCCTAGTGCACTACCTAAAGATATCAAGTTGGAGGAAAATTAGCATTAAGGACTGTCAAAATTGAAAAACAGGAACCCTAACTTTGACAGCTAACCGGGTGAGCAAGTGAGACAGAGTTTTGTTGGACTTATTAAGGTTGGTGGGGTCAGGTGGGGTAACCACACAGGCGTACCACGTACAATCAGAAAACAGCTGTTTCGATTTAAATCTGATCAACACAATTTAAACTGTTTTTACTTTCATCTGCAAGTAAATGAATTGTTAATTTTGTAATATTATTGCAGCATTTTATCAACGTAAAGTTGATAAAACTATATTATATGAATTGGCATGTTAAGCGATTAATAAAAATATATGTTTATTGATATTATTCTCAATTGTTTATAAGGTCAATGTAATAAAACGTCTTTTTATTTAAGTATTATGCACATAAATTTAAATCTTTGATTTACTAGTGACCGGTCAATGTAAAATATTTTGTTTCCTATGTAACTATACAGGCAACCCAAATACCATTAATTGTTTTATTAATAATATTTTGAGTTATTTCAAAATGTTAAGATTATATAATTATTTTATTAGATAAGTTAATGCACGAACTTAGATTCAATTAAATTATTTTTGATGAGACATGGCTGTTTCTATAATATAATCTTGGGATTAGTTTAATGGTTATTTTACTGACTACATTTGTTTCTTTAATTTTATTTTAATTATTGTTGACATGTTTTTAAATAAATAGACTGTTGAAATTTAGTTTCTCGACGAAGGTAACTGTTCCACGGAAGAATAAACGGCGGCCGAGCTCTTCAAGAAATTCACGTGCCCCTGCAAAGTCCTGATCCTCATTTGAGCATCTTCGAAATTCTCATTCAAATTATTGATCTGCGACTGCATTTTCTGTCGAATATCATCGCGATCTCTTTGCGCCGATTTGGCCTGAGCCCTGCTTTGAACTAACTGCTTCTCCAGGTCGGTAACTTGGTTCTGCATGGATCTTCTAATCGTCTCGCAACGATCCTTCGTTCTGGCAACCAGACGCGCTGACTCTTCCCTAACGTTATCCACTTCTGCAGTCAATTGGGCAATTTCGTGGAGTTTTTCCTGTGCTCGCCTTTCTGCATCGTCGGCGAGCTCTTGGGAGTCCATCATTTCCTTCCTAATTTGATCGTTTTCTTCGATCAGTTCGTCGACGCGTGTTTGAAGCTCTTCGTTCTTGCTATTAAGCATCTCCTTTTCAGACTCTCCTAAAGCTTGATCGCTCCTGCTTTGCTCCATCTGCTCGGCATAGATTGAGGCTTTATCTCTAAGAGATTGAATCTCTCTCAGAAGTGCTTCATTGTTCCTCTCCGCCATCATATGCATTTGTTGCGCTTCTTGAAGCTTGAGTTGCGTCGCTTTTAGAATATCGGGCAAGGGTGTCAACTCTTGCAACTTTTCTTGGAATTGATTCTTCACCCTCTGAATCTCTAAATTCACTTGTTCACCAATCCTATTATTCTCCAATTCCATTAAATCTATTTGCCTCCTTTGCTCCTCCACTTGCTGCTGCGCTTCTAAGTACTGAAAAACTTTGTTATTATCAATATCCAATTATTATATACACTAAAAATACTTTATTCCTGTAATCATCCAACTGGGACTGCTGTTCCTCGGTGAGGGCTCTCATTTCTTCCAGCTCGTCCTGAGCTTGTCTGAATCGTTGTTTAGCGACATTCATCTGCTGCTCCATATCGACTAGTTGTTCTTTGAGACCAACACCTTTCTCGGTGTAAGTTGCGTCTTTTAATGCCTTGTCTAGTTCTTTGATGCGAGCTTCAAGAGCCTTCTTCGCCTCTACTGCTTCATGTGTGCTACTTTTCAACTTATCGACGTCCGCTCGTAACCCAGATACTTCTAACAATTTCGATTTGTAATCATCTTGCAGGGTATTGTACTGTTCTCTCAACTCCTTCAGTTGGGAATTGTCGGGAGATCTTGGACACGGTGGGAGACAAGCCGCTGGACACTATATAATTATATATGAATACATTGAATAATAATTGAATGGTAATAGGTTATACAGTTGGTTGTGTTGGCGCTGTCATTGGAGATAGCATCCTCCTGTGCTGCTCCAGATGTAGTCTCTCTTGCCGAACCGTCGATAGTTCATTTTGTATAGCTCTTACCTCAGCCTCCATTTCATTCAGTTGCTTCTCCTAAAGAACTTAATAATTAAATTTTATATCCAAATACCGTCCAGAGTATTAACCAATTTTTTGGTTTCATCATCTTCGGTGCGCGCCGGGCACGGAGCTTTACCTTTACCGCAAGGCATTCTCTGTTGTCTGTGATTATCCTAAGAAACAAACTCAATCAATAAAACAATATGAAATAGACGCATATATCTATTAACTGCTTTATCTCCGGAACAAGGAGGATGTCTGGGTGTGCAGGTTGGTGGTGTACACGGTGGTTGGGGAGCGCAAGGTGGACGTTTGGGAATGCACGGTGCGGAATTCTACAGCAAACACATATTCTTAACGTTATCATATCATGTGGCACTGATGATACTTACTTGAACTTCTTGTAGTTTGGAGTTTAGCAATCCGTTTTCCCTAACTATCATACGAAGTTCAGATTGGAGGCTGGTCAGCTGCCTTTGAAGGCAATCGACGGTTTGGTCTTTGCAAAGCAGATCTTCCTGCAGTTTGTACCTGCCGAGAAAAATACAAATGACACATTTTTAAATGACACAAGAGGTGACATCTCTGACATAATAAACTTATAGCCACCTTTTACATTCCAAATCGGCGTTTTCATGAGCCAATCGTTCTTGCATGTCATAGCTCTCGCTGAGCCGTTGCGCGAATTGAGGCATGACGTTCTTAAAAACAGAAAAAATATTAATTTAACTTGAAAAACAGATTACCATTAGTTAATAATTACAACAATGGGCGGCATTGGCATCATATTTCCAACTTGGTACGCTGAAGACCTCTGCGAATCCATGCCCGGTGGTAGAGCACATGGATGGCAGGGTATGGAACAAGGGGGTTTTGATGCTGGACATTCTGGCGTCGGACCTGTGATCGGATTGCATGTGGATTTTTTGTTCGCGGAACGACGTTTTTTATCATCGCAAATTATGAATTTTGGCATGTTATTCTCGGCCAATCCACAAACGACGACTTTCGGCAATTGATCCTCATCGTACATTTTATCGTAATCCGGTTTTTTGCTTTTCCCTACTAGCAATTCAATTCTTCGAGTTTTCTGCTCCAGCAGAGCCATTTTCTCATTTAGAAGCTTTTGCTTCATCTCCAACTCTCGATCTTCTTGTTCTGTCCTATCGGATTTCTTTAAAAAAAATTAATGACAATGATGTATTACTCATATGAAGAAATAACTTACACTCAGTAATTCGTGTACACGGGTCTTCAATTCGTTGAGAATTTTATAGATTTCCATGCACTGAGCCTCACATTCTTCGACTTCTTTCAGGATTGATGTATCATCCTTAACACCTATTGCAAATCGTTAGTAATAATCATTGGAACGTTATCAATGTTATACTTGCCCTAAAATATGGAATGAATTATATATTTGAAAATAAATTAATAAATGTCTTACTAAATCCTTTTCCATAGCATCGATATCCCGCGATGCTTCTTTCACCAATTGTTCGGTTTCTTCTAGATAATCCTGTAAAGTATATGTAGAAGTATTTAGGGTGATACTTTAAATGAAGTTACTTCTGCATTTTCTTCTCCTTCAGTTTCTGCTTCCGGTGGTTCAGATGGAGGTGGCGGTTCAACTACACCTTCGGCAGCGGCTTCTTCCTCTTCTTCGTCCTCTGTTATGGCTTCTGGTTCTGTAACAGGATCCACTCCTTCCTCTTCATCGGCCATCGTGTAGACACTTTCAACGGTGCTCTTTGGGGAATAAAATCGTTCCTCTTCTTCGAGTTCTTTTAAACCGACAGTCTTTAACTTGTGCTTCGAGTAATCACCCTGACCTAATTGTAATTTCCCCTTTTTTCTCTCCTAAAATGAACAAAAAAGAAAACAAACGCAAAGTTACGTCATCGGCCAACTTTGCAGCAACATGCAAACTCCCACAGTTTGAAGTTTCTGTATTTTCTTGAATCCAATGAAATCGATGTCGTAGTTTCTCAACGACTTCCTGAAATAGGTGTCCGCGTCTCCCAAATGGTAAATGGTCTTCTTGAAGATCGTGCTGTATGAATTTAGCAGGATGGTGCTGCGCTCGAACAAACTGGCTGACGACTTCTTCTTGGTGCACTTATCAACTAAAGTGTGTTCAGAGTGTGTTCTCCGATTCTGCAAGCAGAACGCACATTTGATTATGGCAAATAGTTGCGTTCTGGAACGCCATCAATCACCTTCATACCGAGCTTGAGATTTTTGAATGAATCAGATAGGTTCCATCAATCTGTAAACCTACCTGCAGCCGTGCCAGAGGGCGTTCACATAAAAAGAACGTTGTAGAAAGTTGGAAAATAAATCTGTAAGAGTCTATTATATTTTTTCTGACGTTACGAAACAACTAATAATTTATAAATATAAAGGGCATACACCGACTTGATTTTTTCCATTGGAGAAATGAAACAAAACATGTGTAAATCGAATATATATTTTTTTTTATTTAATATAAATATACATGTGAACTTTTAAAAAAAATATATATAAAAGTATATACAATGAATCTGCTTTATATTATATTAACATGTTAACGAAGATTTGAGCCACTGAAATTAAACGAAATTAGTGTTTAATATTTTATTATGAATTGCAATTACCTCTGATAAATTTACTTTAACATTTCCATTTTGTAAGGGGTCCTTGCTTTCAAAGATACCTGCAACAGATAGGTGGATGAGTTTATTATTTAGTTATATTATGTTAATAAATCTTACTGAAAGCGACAGTGAGGTGTAGAATTGCTGAAACGAAATCGCCGAACCGAAGTGTGCCATCTTTCCTCATATACCTTAATATTAAAATTGCTAGAACTTCGCTGCTCAATTGGAAGCCGACCTCCATTAGAGCGTCGCAAAGGCGTTCCGCCTTCAAGATTCCCGTCTTCTCTTTAGTGTGATTTTTGAAAGCGGTTTGCCAATGTTTTAAGCTGCACATCAGATCCTTGAAGTCACTAAATTTCAGTCGTCCTATACCTGAAGACTATGAGCGGATGGATGAGTGGATGTTCAGAGTAAGGGATAATAAAACTTACGTCGAGTGTTAAAACGACCTGCCGACAGACTTCAATTGATGCGCAGCTCTTGATGTAATCGTTGGGTAAGCAGGCGTCGAGAAGTTCTTGAAGTTCGAATGCGTTGACTGTTCGATGTTCGTCGGCTAGCTGAAGGAAAACCGATTCGTACTGGCTAAAACTTTTGCCGTCCAGCAAGGGCGGAGCTTTAACTATGGCTGATTTGAAGAGGTAAGGAACAGTATCGAGTAGTTTAAGTTTGAGCGGTTTACTCGAGTAGACACGTAGGGTGAAGCCGCACTCCTGGCCCGGTTCAAAGGTGGTCGGCAGGATAAGGTATCCGCCCTGCTCCAGCTGACATCTGTGACTAACCTGCCGGCTGTTAGTATATTGGGAATTGATGAGGGACTTGTTCTTCTTGAAGAACGCTCTGCCGATGGTCTCGGTCATATTTTTGGGAAGTGAGTAAGAGGTGAAACCGATGACCTTCGGTTCCATTATACTGTGTTGGTTCAAGGAGACGACGACCTCCTCCAGCTCGCTGAGCAGGAGATGCAGCTGCGGGTTAATGTGGAATGTGTCCGGGTTGTTCCTACAGCCCCCTGCAGACACTCCCTTCTGCCAGTTACCTTGATACAGCCTCATCTGCCAAGTGTTCTTGTTGTGAAGACTTGGCTCGTCGCGACTAGTATTGCTATCCAGGTGCACGATCTCAAGATTCGTGTAAGTTTTGACGAAATCCGCGAACGGCATCCAGAATTCGCCCTCCGACGATTTGGTTTTCACCCGCTCTACGTCCTGCGCTACAACCTCCGACCAATCCGCAGACTCCATAGACCAGGGACCTGTATATTCTGCTGCAGGACCAAGAGGGTTCCTCAGTTTGACTAGTTGCGTGGCTTCCCCGTTGAACTTCTCCACCCTGTCCACGGCGTACAGTCTGTAATTAGTTCCGATCTGGATGCCGTTCGGCAGCTTCTCGATGTGTGGCTTCGCCTGATAATTAGGTGGCTGCACAGTTGCAGTAATTATCGACGTCATGTCCAGAAGCTTGTGCAGAAGTCTAGCGCATGCAGTTCCATCCTGTCTTATGGGAATGCTCTCGGTGATTCCTCCTGTTAGATCGGCCAGTCCGTCCAGGAGACTGCCGTACTTCAACGCCTCGTACGAACCGTGCAATCTGCAATCAGAATGTTGCAATCAACTGGAAACAATGCTAATTAAACGGCTCATTCCATGGCCACCATTATAATGCAATCACGTAAAATTAAAGCGTTTTGTTAGGCGAGATTTCCACACGATCTCGCGAGCTTATTGCGACACGAGTGGAGATTTTGATGGAAGAAAAAGGTGGATGGATGTCTACGAGGAGAGCAGAAGGATGCGTGTCGTCGAAATAGGATTGTTAACGGATTTTCCATCCATTCATTCATGTGAAGTGAACGAGCAGAAAGAGAGATGTGTAAATGTGTGTGTGTGTGTGCTCCGGTTCGAATCCACACAATGCGCTGTGCCGACCTTTTTACAGTTAATTGCGTTACGGTACAAATCTCTACACTCAAATAATTAAATAGATAACACCTAGCACATTTGTTTTGTTTTGTTTCTCTTAAAATTTTCAAGAAGTAAATATGCTTGACGGTCCTTTCACAACCATATCTTTATATTTCACTTCAATAGAATGATTTTTTTGGTTATTTTTCTTCATTTTGTTAATTCTAACAATATAAAATTGACTGTTCAATTACATGTTAACTTTTTGAAGAAAACAAAGTATCTATAAAACGTTATATTAAAAATACAGGTTTTGAACAATCAACTTTTTTATTATATTTATCTAAACCAAAGAAAACAATAAACTGTGGAAAGTAGATTTAAACTAGTTCGTGGTATGTAAAATCTTTACAGTTTATTTCACTTTTCTCTTCACTTGAACATTGTCTAGTAAGCATTATTTCCTTATTGAAATACATCTCTGTCAAGGTTGTTGAAATAATCACCTTTCGCGTGATATATCAATTTTATCTTATAATTGCAAATGTTACTTTATTATTTATAAAGTTTCATTAAAATATTTTCAAATTATTGTTGAAGTATTTAGTAATTCGTTGTAAAAATGTTGCATTTTAAAAGTAAGTAATAATAAGTATAAATTTCTAATAAATGTGTGTGCGGTGTAATGCACCGGTCGGTCTCATTATAATTAGATTAATGTTGAGAATAAAACTGTAGGAAAAAGGAAAATAGGAGCGTTTGCGTTGTTTGTGGATGCGTGCGATTTCTTGGAAGCAATTGGAGTGGATTTTCTTCTGCTGACAGAGAAAGTAACGTATTAGGTTTAAAGGCTTAATAAATTGGATCTGTGTGTCGTGCCACAATAAATAAATATGATTTTATTCGCGTCGATGCGAATTCGCACACGGACTTTCTCCGCGTTCTCGCATGTGCGCGTTCCAATTTGAGACTCATTTTTCGCGACTCCCTATCTTTAATTCCTTCCATCCACGCGTCCACTCGGATCATTAACAAAAACCGACGTTGTGTGTCCATCCATCTAATGGTTATGCAACGGTCTTCGCCAATAAGGATGGAATAGAAGGAGAGATGTGTGGGCAGATAGTCGATGTTGGTTGGCACTTACTTGGCGTAGGCTTTCTCGAGGAGTCCCGGCCAAAAGTGGTCAGAATGTTGGGACTGTAGGAAGGCCAACCGGCCGTGAACCGCTGGAAGTCGATCGTCGACAAGGACTTCGGTCCATTCGCCGCACCACCACAGCCTAAACCTAAACACGCCGGCGTACTGATCGTTAGAGAAACTCTGGTCCGCTGGAACAACCCTGTAGAAGAGGCCTTTGTTCAAGTACAGCACCCCCAGGCATGACACCAGCCATCTATCACCTAAAAACAAACAAACATAAATGTAGATACTATAAATCTGTTTATCTCATCTTGCATTCCAGTTAATCAAGAAACTAGTTTTCATCAAAACTGAAAACAAAAGTTTCGCATCAAATTATTCAGTTTAAAAAATGGGACGTCTCGATGATGGATAACAACGAAGTATGACATAGGTCAGGTAAAATTTCGACTGTATTGTAATGATATGTTAATCAGAGATAATACAATGATTCTTATGTTTGTGCGTGTGCATTATACAGGTGCGACCTAGTTATTTGAAAAATCCGGCCCGTTGCCAGCATACACACTCAAAGACTTACTGTTACATTCAGCCTGCATGCATGCGTACATTGTACAAGAAAAATGCCTTTTACTAACTCAATGATTTTAATCACACACATAAACACACGTGTTATTTAGATGCTATACACGTCAATAACAAATGAAAATCCTTTCAATATAATATACACGTATATGATTCACTAAATATTAACCAATTATTAATGACATAAAAAACCATTACAAACTTTTCTATTTCAATAATCAACAAATATTGATGAAAACGTCTTCAATTCATTTCATAAAAGAATAAATTAGTTTATTATCTAAATCGAAACATTTCTGTGATGAAAAGAAATGTCAAAATATTTATAATAATCTTCAAATGCAATTGTTTATTAATATTAATAAAAAAAAGTTGAAATCTACATACATTTCCGTGGTGACCAGCTTAATAAAATATTCAATTCATAATTGTTGAATGATTTCACAGTTGAGAGCGTGATCTAAACGACTTTGAAAGCGTCCAGATCAACCTTAAGACATCTGAGAAGTAACTTCATGTGATTTCTGCAATCGGAGACGCAAAAGAAAATAGAAATCGAACCCGTCGAAGAAAGCAAACCGAATTTCGCGTTTTTTTTATTTTGGGCAGTATCAGTCAGATATTGGCATGCGTCAGTTTTTACGTAGGTCTATCCGCAGGATGTGCGTGACATGTATGATGATTGCATACGATTTCCTCGTGCAGAAAAAAAGAGGAGCACTATATTATTGATGTTTCGCAAAGAAAATGACCAAACCATATCATCATATCTTGTATTCATAAAAGTATTTCTTTTTTTTTATAGTTTGCCTTCTTCTTTCTACCGGCGACAACTTTCTCCCATATTTATTGCAGCGCTATTAAAACTGCGTTTGGTTATTCAACATCGACGAAAACTCATAAAAATCGCATTAATCCATGAAATATATTCGCAGATTTTGTTGCAACTTTAAATGCTAACGTGCTTTCTCCTAGGCTACGACATTTAACAAAACATATAATGCTAAATAAATACCGAAATCTGACCTTGGTTCTTGCATTCTAACAAATCCTTTTAACTGAATCCTTAATCAAATCATTAACATTAAATTACTTTAGCATCTTATTTACTAATTTGTTAATTTCCTATTCAAATTTATTTTGTTATCGAAATATTAAGTTTTTTTTTTAATAATTAGTTGGAAATATGATTATTCCAACTACATTAATTAATCTAGGTGAAAGAAACGCAATTCATTAACTAAGCAATTAATGATTTCTGAGAATCAGGCATTGTAGGAGCAATTTCGTAAATTTATGTAATAAGTTTTTGCATGTATATTTATGTAAGTCTACGTTTACATTCAATGATTCACTTAATTACAGGAGATTACATCTGTATAAATCAGAATGTTTGTTTGTGAGTAAACTTAAAATCAAATTATAAAATGCAATTAATCCATGTAATATCATTTACATATTTACCAGTAATTTTTTTTTTATATGAAATTGATGATTTTTTTTTTGCAAATCTAATTTATTGAATTATTGTTTAAATTTTCTAAAAAAATAATAAAAATTGCCATATTTCTTGTCACCGCGGAAACATATAAATTCTACCAAAATTTGACATATCCCATACGTAGATAATGACATTTCATGTTACAATGTAAATATATATAAAATCTGTCAAAATTTGACACATGTTATACGTAATGAGTTAATTATGTTGTGTTTTTTGTTAATATTTATATTAATAATTATATTTCAATATAATAAGACTATCAATATTTCTTATTACTATTGATAATATATCAAAATGTGACATATTCTATATGTAAAGTTTTATTTTTCATGTTTTCTGTATTAATAATATTTGAAAATTATAAAGTTATCAATATTTATTATCACCATGGAAATATCAATATTATGCCAAAATTTGATATATGCCAGAGTCTCAGTCAATTAGCAAATTTAATATTTAACAATTTTCAATTTACTTTCGTCCATCCACAGATTGAATTAGGTTCAATCAATAATGGTATTTTTTTCCTTCTTCTTGCTTCTCTGAGGAATGGAAAGGCGCGATGGTTTATATGGGCCCGACCGAAGCACACGGGTTTCACCGTTCTCGACGACTTCGATCATGTGTAATAATAACCATTTCGAAATCTCCTGTTGACATCGAAGTGAAATTTCGTTGAGCAAATCATTTGTTCAATTGCTATTTTCCACCAAAAAGAAAAAATAAACAACAACTCCGCTTTTACGTTACATTAACAAACTATCAATTATTTGTTTACAAATCTACAAAATTTAATTAGATAATTATACAAGACAAATGATTATATAAACAATTAAATTAACTGTATTATTGAAATGAATTAAGCAATTTCAAATACAGTTAATAAAACTCAATTTTACGATTACATTGGTAATGATCATTAAATTTCGGAGAAATCCTGTTTTAAGTCGTATTATTATGAATCGTCGGTAAAATACCGTGTAATTGAATTTATCAGAGTTTACACTTATAGTAATAATGTTTTAATTAAATCTTACCCATTTTTCCTGCTGTGATGTCAAATTGTGCAGGTCCATCTTGCACGAATCCAGGTCGATTGCACAAATCCTGCAATGATAATTACAAAGCAATTATTAAAAGGTTTGCATTTTTATTAAAAAAAAAACTTTAAAATTAATTTAATTCTTAGCTACAAAACAATAATTCATACATGGAATAATACCTTTTTTTATTTATTGAGAAAATTAGTAATTTTTAAAAGAAAATATTTATTTTTTCTTTTCTTTGATTAAAATGATTTTTTCTTTTGTGAGAGTAGAAGACATAGTTAAGTAAATCTAGCGCATATGGAATGCAATCGATTTGGTTGATGTGCAATGTGGAACATGTGTTATGATAGAATGAAGAAAAGTGTTAGCTGTAACCCAGAAACATATAAACCAGAAAATATGTTACAACTATAAAAATATTGATTTATGATAAAAAAAAAAAGATATAAAATGTGTTGAAATGAGATAGAAAGAAACTCAATTAAGAATTGGTACAATTATATAATACTAGTATGGAATTTCAAAGTTTATTTTAATGCAAATTATATAAAGTCCGAAAATTCTATTATACACAAAATAAATTAGAAAGAGATGGATTATTATCAAATGTACTTAAAATCAGTGATGGGCAAACATCAACAAAATATTCATACGTCCTAAAACAATTCCCCTTTCGTTTTCGTGCAGTGATACATTGTGTTCCGCGAACATCAGTGCATTAACATTATTTTTGTGTTAGTCTTAAGTCACTTTTACTATTATGTCTTGTCATCATAATTATTGTCTCATCTTTTCATTGTCTGATTAATATAAATTTAACTTTAGTAACTTTCTGAAGGCCGCAAGATGCGAAACTTGATTTTGATTATAATTAATACTTTATTAAAATTAGGTAGTTTTGTAGTTTATTTTCGGTCAAGTGAAAATATTGTCTGAGTAATTTGTGAACTATTTTTTTACAATTTATTTATATTTTGCTCAGTTACAATTTAGTGTGTAAATACTAAGTGAAATATTGCTATACAACTATTAACTAATATTCTTAAAGTCACCTTAATTTATTAACTCTTTGAGGAGCGGTGGGACACGCATTGTCCCACCTTTTAAACATGCCTTATACTTTGATACTTTTTATGTCTAAGTGGGGCATCATTATAAGTTTCTACGAAATGTCCAGGAAAGAGGAATTATCCATTAATTTGGTTGATTGTTGATGTAGCTGTCTGATTCAGTTGTCTAGAAATTTAGGAATTCCCAGCCCCTCAAAGAGTTAATATTAATTAATATTTCTAAATGATTTTGTAACATGTATAAAAAAAACATGTGTTTTTATAAAATTGATGAAAACATCAAAAGCATGATTGACATTACAAATTAAGTCATGCGCCTATGAAATATGCATGTTAATCACAACAACAATAAAAAAGTACATCTCATCGCGTCTTCAATCGCAATAGACGACGGATCAATCGGAAGTTGTTTTTTTTGCGAGTAACGATCGTTAATTTATCGAGACACCAGAGGAATCTACCATCTTCTCCTGCAAGAGCGGAGATCGCGTGATAGTGGCATACGCAAGTAATGAAGATCTTGTTCTCTCGGAAGCGAACACACACAAGCACACAATTCAACAAAAAAACAAGTAAAAAAAAAGAAGAAAAACTATATATACACACATACAGCAGAGTAATAATAAACTTTAATTGCCACATATAATGGGCATCCATTCTTCTTCCCTGAGAAGAAAATGGAGCCGGAGGAATGTGAGCAGCAGATTTTAATAATGGAAGAAAGAAATTTAGATGGAGGAAAAAAAATAATTTATATACATTATATATTTATAAGAGAGAGAATAAAGAGTGGTTGCAGAGGTCTAAACTTCCCACCGTTTGCGAGGTGAGGCAAGAAGCGCCCCGCTTTTTTTCTTCTTTTACATAACGCGATTAATTCATTATTCATTAAATACGAAACGAGCGAGCCCCGTTTGCGCAATCGGATCTCCTTCTTTCTTTTCTATTTTCGTGTTCATTCTTAATGTATGTATTCGACCGCTTGTATAACAAACACTTGTTTATAACCGGATTGGCCTATGCAGACAGACATTGTTGTTGCCACTGCTGTTGCACATTTGAACAAATTTCGTTGATTCCTTTCTTTCTTTAACTCTACTACTTCTTTTTTTCTTGTTTCGTTTCGCGAGAAAATGCGGTTTACGTAACCGCACAAATTTATTACCCAAAATAATGACCGCACGTGCATATATTCAATTAGTTACGTCTGCTGCTATTTCGCGATGTATTAATTAAATAATTTATAATTGTACATATTTCGCTTTCAAAGAAAGTCGGCTGCAAGAGTGCTGCGGACAAAGTGAAAATAATTCGTTTGCATCGTCAATTGTGAAGGATTTGTAGTTATTTCGTATTGAATCCAGTTTACTTTTAAGGCATAAATCCATGCTGGAATGGTCATCAATCGAGTGGAACATGCGTGCGTTATAAATAATGCAACCGTCTGTTCGTATATTCTATCTATCGTTTTCTATTTTTTTTATCTATACTAAATTAATATAATCGATATAATAACTCTATTTTATGTTATTAGTTTAGTCAAATTATCACTATTAACCATAATTAAACTAAATTATAAATCTACAAAATGTTGCACTTTTAATGAAATTTTTACAATAATTTGTATATATCTTTATAATATTATAAATTTCTTCCAAATATTTTTGTTTTCTAATCTTTCATATTTATTTCTTACTTTTATTTTGAAATAATTAATTTCTTTACTAAACTTTAAATTAATTCTATTGTAAATTTTTGCAAATTAAAAAATATTATATATTATTTTCCATCGATTCATTTTTCTGTAATTGTTTCATAAGTTTTGAACTATAAATTTATTCTACAGTGAATTTATACAAAAGTATAGAAGAAAATAACATCCAAGAAATTAGAAATGAAATTATCCAGATGGGTTTCTAAAATGTCGTTGAAAGGAATGTTACAAATGTTTTAAATGTAGAAGATCTAGAAAACCTTTTTAGCAAGAAAGACGAAATTAAAGAATTTTTTTGTCGAAAAATGTTAACAGCATTAAACAATATTAAAAAAGTTTTCTTTTCTTTTAATAAAAATGCATTAATTCCGTATAGGTAATTATTAAATAAAAGAGAAAATGCAGAAACAATGAACTTTAAACCAATACTTTAAAACGTTATTTCACTTTGTTTGTAAGTCAACAGTTTATTTATTAAAACTTTTCTTTGTTCGAAAATAAAAAAAAAGCTTTTCATTTTCTTTACAAATCCTTTTCCCATTTTGGAGACAGTACTGTTTTTACTCTGCAAACAAAATTTATTAATCAATTTATGACTGTAATTTACACATTAAATCTAGATAAAGCAACAATAACAAAAAAAGAACTCTCGAACTTGTACGTATTTCAATGTAAAACATTGTATTTGCTTTAAAATGGTTCCTAAAAGTCCATAATTACTCGCATTTGCAAAGTAGAAAGTGGAATGAATAACAGGTGGGTGCCATTGTTTGACAGAAATACAAAAAAAATAAAATAAACAAAACAAACGCGATTTGACCTCAAATTCTAAAAAGCAATTGAATTTCAGTTTTGACATAATAAAGCAGCAGACATATGTTCTTTATTAAGACGTTAACGACTCATTTAGTTAATACATTCTACAGTATGTTCAATTCTAAAGGAGGATTGCTTGATTATGCAATTAACAGTTGAAAAATTTGTTTTTTTTTTTAAGATAATTATTGTTTTTAAATTATTTTTTTTGTTAATTAGTGATCCATATAATGATAATGCTTCAAATGGTTTCAATACCTCGTATAGTGTGGATAATCCGCAAATATTCCGGACTGTTTGAAACCAGTATAATCGAGGACTTTAAAACTACATATAGTTGAATGTTTCTAAGAAAACAGACAATTCTGCAATTATTGATTTTTTTTCTTTAGAAAAGAATATATGATTATAAGCTAATTACGAAATAAATATTACTTTGTATGTTTTTTTTGTTGTACGAAGACCTTCCGAGCAGTTTATTATTAGAGTATGTTTTAAGAAGAACACAACGACTGTGTATAGAGAATACAAAACACACGCATTAAGTGTGCATGTCAAGCGTGAATTGTGATTCTGTCTTGCTTCGTGCACCTTCCATCGATGTTTTGTTGTCGTAGTAAACATCTGATGTTCCACCTGTTTACGTCTCTTGTTTCTTCTTTCACTTTTCTTATACGTTTGTTTTGATGATCAAAAATATAAAAACGAACTGTTTAACAGGATCGTTTGGAACAGAGATCGAGGAACGATTGAAGCGTGGCACGAAAATTATGGTACCATGACAATTGTCGTCGTGGCAATGCACTCCTCTGTTTTTGCGGATTGGTGATCTCGAACCCACGCACACTCGATGCCCACTTGTAGATACCTCGAACCCACCGGAATTCTTGTTACGAAAATAAATGAACGCCAGAGGAAAGTGACGTAGGAAACAAAGAGTCGATGTTGCTAAATGGAAACGCGCCTTGAAATACTACTCATATTTGGACACCTTATCGATCCAATACTAGAACCCACTTATTGGAATGATCGTTGAACTTTGTGAAATTTTAGGGAAGTTTGCCGAAAACAAGAATTATATAATAATTTGGGCGTTGGATGATTCACGAAAAGTGTTATTTTTATGGAAACACCTCTCAGTATTTCGCAAAAGAAATATTTTAAAATATTCATTGAACTTCTTTATTAACGTATTAAAAGTACAAAAATGGTATCCTTTTCGAAAAAGTTGTCAATTACTTAAACATTATATAAATACAATTAAAAATAAAACCGTACTAAAGGAGACATAAGTATTCAAGTAAACTCATTTTTTGCAGGTATTTAGTTTCAAAAAGTTCGGAATATTGGTGAATCCGCATTATGGAAGGTATTACTATATATTAATTTAGCTTAATATAGAAATTACAATTAAAACTATACAGAATAAGTGGTATTATATAATAATGACCTTTGAAGGTCGTAAAGAAATCTTCATATTAAAACACTTTATTTGGTTTTATTAAGTTTTTTGATCAATAAAAGTAATATTTTGTTAAATTAATACAGAAATTAAATCTGAAACTGTATAGAATAAAATGACCTCAGTGTTATATAATAGTGACCTTTGAAGGTCGTAAAGTAATCTTCGCGTAAAGTTGAATGAATTGATGCTTACCTTGGGCCTCTTCCACTGGAACTGGAAGGGCGGCGTTTGATGATAGAAAACGGAGGACTGGGCGGCAGGAAAATCTGGATCCTCCCAGAGCTCACCGCGCTTCAAGCATGCCCTTCGGATCCGCTCGTAGTCGCTCATAACCTGCAACAGCGAAAGCAAAAGAGGATAACCTCAGTAAGAAAGAGTTAATTTACATTAAGTCATTTGCTTCGCGCCAAGCCACTATACATCGGAGTGATTAATTGCGAGTTAATTAATGAATTCCCGAAGACGCGTGAGCTGACGACCAAAGCAGTAACTTGACCTGCGAAAACGACCGTCCGATGAACTGCGAAATACCTCCATAATTCCGTTTCAGTATTCGTTATTCAAATTGAACGTGTCTCATTCACAGCAAAGCCGATTCGGTTGGAACTAATCAAAATCAATTACGCACTACCAAAAAGGTTGAAAATCTCTTTGTCGCCTCCGTTTTGTTTGGTATTAAGCAGGAAACAGGATCTGCCGATCGTGATTTGAATTACATTTTTTTTTAAATGCGTTGTAGTTGTTTTGTTTACAACTTGCGGTGTTTACTACATAAATTAACGGTGCTGTCCGTTAAAAAAAAAGAACGTGCAACGGCTGGAATTTAATATCGCTGCACTGGAGCAAATTGTATACATAATATCCACATCGAATTGTAGTTTATGTAAATATTGTTAACTTTTTGTTTTTGCAGATTGTATTTATCGAAGAATTCTGATAGAACGTTGCGACATTTGACCCGGAACACTTTGTTGTACTTTGTTTTGTAGGTATACAGCACACCTGCAGATGGTGCGATACGAACTGCACTTATCGAACACATCGAAGCAAGAATGATTCAACAATTCCATTAAATAGACATATTTAATAACTAATTAAATGTAATTGTAGAAATTGAGCAAAAAAATATTTTATTTTAACCAGCATGAATTTAGAAAGTTTTCATTATCTTACATGGATGATGGAATAAATTATTGAAATAATTTAGGTAGGTCAATGAACTGCATACTTTTATGTACATTGACTATGATATAATAATTTTTGAAATTCTAATTTAATTTATATTTATATTACTTAACTGTCACAATTATACTTGACAATCTTAAAGTTTGGATTTTGATCACACTTTTTATAATATTTTAAAAGTTACGAATACATCCGCACTGCACAAGATAAATGTTTATTTCTGATACCAATTTTGTTGTCATTCCTAAGATTTTATTGTTATTTATATAAAACATGTCATAAAATAAACGTTACCATTTCGTTTTGCCGTCATTTTTTTCTTTTTCAGGTTATATCACAATTCATTTGACAGTTGAGTGGTTGACAATTCAATTTTATCATAAAATTGTAAAAAATATATTATGAACAAATTATGACAAAACTTGATGATAATAGTTTCCTCTTTCTCCTGATATGTGCAAATATGTGATAATTAAAATAATATTCATTGAAGTATAAATACAAGCATAATGTTCGTAAGAACCAAACTGTCTATAACAACCACAAAGCACCGTTTACAACTGTTTATAGTGTACATAGCAACCGGGGTGGCGATACATAAGAACAAAACGCGTACTTAACAACGGTAATTATTGTGTACATAACAATAAAAACGCCTTCTTAACATCAACGATTTAGTCTATAACAATTTATAAATTTTCTTAACAACTGCACAAAGCACGTATAGCCTTTATAATATGAAGATAAATTCTTGTAGAACAACACTATTGACTCATTAATATTAAACTTAATGTATTTTATTATGTCACCGTACCAGCACTAATTCAGTGATGTATGATGCAAAATGATTCAAGACAAAATATTCAAATTCGAGCATCGCTAATAGTTAAATTACTAGTGCGTTTTCCAACTACACGAAAATAATCTCTAATAACCAATTTATTTAATTCGCTCCTAGCTATAGATAATAAGTAAACATAGATGCAATGAAAAAGAAATTCTTGGTAAAATTGCCGGTTGTTGAGATATAATTTGTGCAGTTAATCACGGTGGTGCGACAGGCTAAGATTGCAGGATAATCTCCGATGTTTAAATCTACCAGCTCCAATCAAGTCGTTGAGAATAACGCTCTATAAATCAATAATAATAGTAAAAAATCTTCAACGCTCTCACAACAAAAATAGATATATTGAACTTACTTCGGTGTTATTAACGTTAGCAATGCAACTTTTACTTTACGTCAAACGAATTAACACGGTAGTTTAACTTATGTGTGAATGCTATCTGTTTAAACATTATAAATGAATCTATTAATAGATATTTTATATCTTATAATTCAAATAATTTTATTGATTTTTTTCAAAATGAAAGAAACGTTTTTGTTTTGCCGTCAATTAATTTCTTTTTCAGGTTATTTTAGTATTATTTTGACAGTTGTTTATCATAAAGCGATTATGTCAAGTTTCCTAATTCTCCTGTTTTAATGGCTTCTAATTTTTCACTTTAAAAATAAAGTCAAACCATAATGAACTAAATATAGTGACAAATAGAGCATCAGTTGGTACATATGAAAAACCAGCTATTTCTATTTCTATATACCCAGAAAAAGTCAATTGCCAATCAATGAATTAAGTAACTAACTTTAAGTTGGTATGATTGTAAAAAGTATTTAACTTATCAATTAATTAGAAACTTTGCTCCTAACAAATAACACTTGTTTTTCTGTAAATAAATTATAATTCCTTCAAGTGCATGTAATAAACCATTAATATCGCTTAGATTTTTTTTTAATAGTACAGGAAAGCTTTAGATACTTATAATTACGTATTGTTGTACATAAATTGTTGGAAAGTGGCCTTGCTTAGATATATTTCAATTTTTTTTATATATAGAAACTATACAGGAGAACAATTATTTGTTTTGTACTTTACATTGTTTATTAAATAGCATAAAAGTCATTTTGTTTATAACTTTTTCTTCTTATTTATAATAAGAAATAATTCAATTTAGTTACTTTTGCTTATTAATATATAATATATTAATAAAAAATTGCTATAAAAATGAATACAGTTTTTATTAGAAATTTAAAGTGGTAATTTATATCTTGATATTATGTATACTTTTCTTTAAGAAACATGTGCATCTGGTTTATATTTGTAAAAAAAACTTTTATGTTTCGGATCTCATTGATGGCAATTTTCTAAAGTTAGTCTCATATACACACTCATCTGCGCTCTCTGAAGCTGTTTGCACGTAATTGCAGAATGTGGAAAACTGGATTCCAAGAGATATAAAACGCATATATATATATACACGTTCAAGAGTTGTATGTGTGTGGTTAGTGCACGTGTGGCTAGTCAAGGAGTAAGCTTATTTTATTACATTGCATATCTTTTATTTCATTTTTATATATATATATTTTCCTCATCCTTTTCGCATGAAACAAAACGCACACAAAAATAGTCTCACCGCGACGTACCAGATTTGCGCAAATCGAATTTGCCGCTGCGGAGCGGTGGGTTTTTGAATGAAAACCGATATCAATTTGCATTGAAATTGGATGCATGCCACGTTAATTGTATGGACGTATGAACACATTCGCCGTGTCATTCGGACTCACGCTGTGTGTAGTTATTAATTAATAATTGAATGCTGCGTCGGTCGAGTCCTTCTTCCTCTTTCGTCTCGCCTTTTCTCTTTATCACCATTCAAACTGCTGATGCTTTTTCTTCTACATGCGTATCCTTCTCTCGTGCAAGGTTGACGGACTCATAAGGAAATCGATTGGAATTTCTCTCAGCACTTGCTCTCTTTAAAGCAAATAATAAAACCGGACAGAATCACATTTTTATTTTTGCTGCTTTGTTTTATTTTATGTCTTTATGGCAAAATCATGCCATCTTGATTCGAATCTGTGGGAAATTTTCAACATCCATTAGAAGTTTACTAATAAATTTACACAGATCATATATGTAAAAATATCAAATTTTCTGTCTACACATTTGGTGTGAAAATTTCGTCTCAATCGTAATAAAAAAAAAATGATCCCAATTAATTAATTAAGCTATGATTAAGAAAATATTGATTATAAAATTTAAAAAAAGTTATATCTAATTGTTACAAAAGTTCTTCTAAACGTATTATTTTTATATAAACTTGTATAATGAAAACTGTATATGAAAATTATTATTAATAATAATACTGATAAAATAAAATTATTTTCAAAAATTTTTAAACTTTTTGTAAATTTCTCTAATTAAATGTACACTATTTAATTATATTTATAAATAATTCTACTTAAACATTTGTTTAAAAGGAAAATAATTACAACTGAATATCGTAAGAATATCGTAAAATAAATTACATTCCTTGTTTACAAACTTCAATTAATTAACAAAAAGTAGTATTATAACTTTTTATTAACAAAACATACTTTATGTGACATTTACCATCAGGTGTACCAACTAGTACATCAAATCATGCTAAAACTGAATTGACAGCTGTCATTAAATACAGTATCAATATATGTCAATATATATATATATTAATAGTAGTTGGTACAACTGATACATCTTTCTGTCTAATAAGACAACCATATTGAGAATACATTAAAATACTGCTTAAAAATAACAGTTTACTGACAAATAACATCAATTAAGTTTCTGATGTTGTTCGAATATGCAAATAAATTTTTATTAATAAATAACTGCACGAATTTAGAACATGTGCGCGTTTACGTGGATTTCTATGTGATACATGCGTTTCCAGTTGCAGAAAATTGTGGACGCTGTTCGGTCCGTTTCGATTATTTAGCGTGAACGCAAAAGTGGGTCTTGAATTATGCAGCAATGAAACACAGAAATCGACAGGCGCGGCCCGATATGCAAATTTTCGTTTCCACTATTTTATTAGCGAATTAATGAATGAATCCTCTCTCGCTCTAAGCACGTTAATGCAACAACAACAGCAATAATATTTGTATATTATCTGCATCTGCATGAATAATAAATCGCATAATGCGTGTACATTATAATGAAAAAAAAACGTAATTAATGGGATGTAATCCACATCGAAACAGATGTATCTTATAGTTTATAATCAAATTGACACTGTCAATAGCACTGACATCTGTCAATTTGATATAATCAATTGTAAATTATATAAATTAATCGGTGTATGACATCTTACGGAAGTTAAGCAACGTGTGTCAAGGACAGTACTTGAATAGGTGACTAATACCCTTCAGGAACAATATTTATGTATTATCTGCATCACATAATGCGTGTACATTATAATAGAAAAAAACACAATTAATGAGATGTACTTCATTGAAACTAAAGCATCTTATAGTTGAAATAATGACAATAACAATGTCTGTTAACTTAATATAATCTCAAACTGTAAATTACATAAATACTCGATGTATGACAGCTGACGGAAGTTAAGCAACGTGTGTCAAGGACAATTCTTGAATAGATGAGTCATACCCTTTAGCAACAATATTTATATATTATCTGCATCACATATTGCGTGTACATTATAATAGAAAAAACACAATTAATGTGATGTATCCTCATTGAAACAAATGCATCTTATAGTTTACATAATCAAACTGTCAATGTCACTTGTCAACGGGAGTAATTTGCAGTATCTTATAATATGTATACAATTAGTTTTTTGATGATTATTATTGATAGTTTATTGTAAACTTAATGCAACAGTACCGGAATGTTAGTCGTCGTCTGTGCGTTTCTCCTTGAAACGAAGCAACAATCTTTGACACGGAAACAAACCATTATTTGTTCAATTCAAGACTTCGGTAATTAAATCTTGAAATGCGTTTAGTAATACACTGGGTAATTAATAGAAGAATGTAGGTTGATGGCCTATTGCAAACTGATATTGAATTCGTAATTAAAACGCAAATCGTTCTTTAATGCCACTCATTCAATGATAAAAGTATAAATCATTGATTGATACATGTCAGTATTTAATACAAAACATACAAAAAAAACATGTAATTATTTCAATGCCAAAAGTCATAACTTATTAAAATGATAAATGCTCTGTTTGATTGATGTAATTATTAATTAAATTCATTATTGATTTATTTACCAAGTAATTTCTTACTAGTTTATTTAATATTTAAAAAAATGAAACTATTTAAACACCTGAAACTATATTTTACAACCATAATTGAAAGATATTTGCACCAATCTTTTATATCAACGTTTATCATTCTATAGTTTACGTCAAATTTTTAATGACAGCTGTCACCTTGTTTCAAAATGTCAAAAAAATTATATTGTAAGTACAACTTGGGGTCTTAGAGCACGAAATTTATTAATAATAATATTTGTGGAAATAATATAAAAATATATTAAGTATTATTTCAATATTCACAAATCAGTATGAAAGTGAAAACAAAAACAAGTTTGTTGATTTTTTTTAATGAATTTATGTAAATGAAAGGAAGATATTTAAAAAATGCGGTAGAATTCATAGAAAGTGATGAATCTTCATGCGGAATAGTTTCGTGTATTTTATAAATGTTAACAAGTCAAAATTCCTGCGGTGGAGCCAATTGCCAAAGAGTTTCGTTAAAAGTAAGATTGCCACAACACACACACGAAACCTCGCATTTACATTCAGAATAACGCAGAATATAAGACGAGACTATTTTGCTTGCAGATCGTCGCTCGTCTGGACGGAAATCGTTCGTGTTTTGAATGCTCCAAACCAATTTACGTTGGGAATCACGGATTTCCTAATAAACTAGTTTCTTTTCCAAGAAATACACAAAGAAACATTCCACCGAACACTTTACAACTAATAAATACGACTATAACAGAATCACGTATTACTATTGTTGCATCAAAGATGAATAAGTCATTTCTTAGTTTCTGTGAAACTGAATCATTGATAAATTATGTTTATTATTCGTTATTTCTAATAAATTCTTCTTAGAATTACAACCACATTTTAAGTCGACTTTTAACATTCCAAATGCAATGAAATTTATAGGAATTTTTGTCACTTCTTATTCAGACTAATTAAAAAACTTATTTTTTTACTTTAAATAATTTGTAAATATTCTAATTGGCTCACAATTAAGAGATTTTACGATCATTTCTATCGTTTAAGCTTAAGTTTCCGGCATTGCGACTTCTGTGAATTTGCAATATACACTATACACTAGACGTCTAAAAGATCAATTATGAAACAAGCCCGAGATTCCAGAGATATAGGCGCACTTATAAATGGTAGAAAATATCACCGAACGGAACTTTTAATGGCACCAAATCAGGTATGAGTCTGTTGCTTAGGGAATCCGTTTCATTTATAAACGATCCTCTAGCGCTCGACGAACGGAATTTCGAATCTCATTAAATCCATTGATTGCGTATTAAGTGTATGCATTTTCTGTGCTATTAAATATAAAGAGATAGAGAAGAAGAACAAAAAAAAAACGGTGCCGTGAAGTTACAGGATGCACTCAATTATACAAAATTATAAGCGTAGTTGGTATTATTTCAAATAGAGCCGATGAGAAAATTTATTCGCAACGTAAATATTAATAATATTATTTATGTTGCAGATATCCGATTAGATACGAAATGGCTAATACTTTAATTAAAATGTGCATAAACGTTAGTAAACTATAAATCTTTTTGTTTACATTCAGTTATGTCCATTAGAATTGCTAATAAAGATTGTTAATCTTATAATAACGCATGTAAGGATATTGTAATTAAATTCAGAAAACAAATTGCAATTAAAGTATTTTATTCATAATAAAATTATTAGAAATAAAAATATCAATAAATCAATAGAATATTTAATTAGTCAAAAGATTACTTTTTTCTATAATTTTATTAATTTAAACGAAGAAATCTAAATAATTCCATAATTTTATCGTAAAGTTACTTCTCGGTTTTTTTTTAATTGAAAATTTATAAAAACTTGAGAAATCAATCAATTTATGTAAATATTAACAATGAATTTCTTATACAATTTTATCAATGAATAATTAATATTCTAGTAAGTATAGAAAAATCATCAAAATTATTTCATATTTTTTTCACAA